TGAACACTAGAGAAGATATTTTGAAGAGGGCTAAAAACCTTTCATAGTAGGGAAAACAAATACTATTGAAGACACAGGTTTACAGCTTTCCTAAAAATTTTGTCTTAAGTGTTCAACAGACGAAAAAAAAAAAGATTGAAGCAAGTACAGGGTGAATAAAGGATGACTGAATTGTCATTTTTGGGTGAATTATCCCAATTCTCACTATTAACAAACAATAAACTAACACCTCGATAAACTACTAATTTTGTTGTTTTTATAGTTATTAAGGTAGCAGTTGCGTTTAGGTAGATGATTAGGAATGTACAGTAATATGCAGAATATGTACTATAGACTACGTGACAGGTTTTGTCGCCTATCCAAGTTTTAGGAACAACAAATAACTTCATTTTTAGTTGATCATTAGGTATCAGAAGTGGCTTACATGAAAGGCAAAGATACATTTTTAATGGCTTCTCCTTCATCTTACCCCAGGCATGTCCAAACTCGGTCTTGGAGGGTCGGTGTACTGCAAAGTTTAGTTCCAACCCCAATCAGACACACCTATTCAAGCTAATCAAGCTCTTACTAGGCTTTCTAGAAACATCCCTTCAGGTGTGTTGAGGAAAGTTGGAGCTAAAATCTGGAGGACACGGGCCCTCCAGGACTGACTTCGAAAACCCCTCTCTTACTCCAAGCCATGCTCAATAATGTTCATGTCTGGTGATTGGGCTGGCCAATCCTGGAGCAACTTGACCTTTTTTGCTTTCAGAAACTTTGATGTGGAGGCTGAAGTATGAGAAGGAGCGCTATCCTGCTGGAGAATCTGCCCTCTCCTGTGGTTTGTAATGTAATGGGCAGCACAAATGTCTTGATACCTCAGGCTGTTGATGTTGCCATCCACTCTGCAGATCTCTCACACGCCCCCATACTGAATGTACCCCCAAACCATGATTTTCCTTCACCAAACTTGACTGAACACTATGAGAATCTTGAGTTTATGCGAGTTCCAGTAAGTCTTCTGCAGTATTTGTGATTATTGGGATGCAGCTCAACAGATGATTCATCAGAAAACTTCTGAGACTTCTCAAAATGATCAACTCGAAGTCAAGTTATTATTTGTTGCTCACAACTGGGATTGACGACAAGACTTTTGTCTGGTAGTGTTTAAGTACTAACAAAAAGACTATCTTAATAATAGGCAGGCAATAAGCCACTAGTTAATAGTGAGAATTGCTCCCTTTACTTAGGTGTTTTCAAAAGAATTTCCCTACACACTCACTTTCAAGCGGTCACTCTTTTGCTGTATTCACCAGAGTACTGATTGACCAAGATATCAGATGGACAGACAGACGTACAACACTTGCAATCTGACAAAGCACAGGAGGCCGACTGGTCTGCTTCGGTGTGGAGCGCCTGTAAAGAAACCCAACAAACATACTGTAAGTAAATACAATAACCATCATGCTCTTGATCTAATATTACTCTTTCACAGTGGGAGGAGCTACGGGTGATTGACAGCTGCATGTGTTCTCATAGGGGAGTTCCCAAATAGGATAGCAGTTATTAATAATTTACAAATAACATGAGCAATATATATATATATACATACATACAGTTAAAGTCAGAATTATTAGCCCCCTTTTGAATATCTCCCAAATTATGTTTAACAGAGCAAGGAAATTTTCACAGTATGTCTGATAAAATTTTTTCTTCTGGAGGAAGTCTTATTTGTTTTATTTCAGCTAGAATAAAAGCAGTTTTTAATATTTAAAAGCCATTTTAAGGACACAATTATTAGCCCCTTTAAGCTATATTTTTCTCGATAGTCTACTGAACAAACCATCGTTATACAATAACTTGCCTAATTACCCTAACCTGCCTAATTAACCTAATTAACCTAGTTAAGCCTTTAAATGTCACTTTAAGCTGTATAGAAGTGTCTTGAAAAATCAAGATCAAGGCAAAGATAAAATAAATCAGTTATTAAAAATGAGTTATTAAAACTATTATGTTTAGAAATTGTGTTGACAAAAATCTTCACTCTGTTAAACAGAAATTGGGGAAAAAAAATAAAAATGGGGGCTAATAATTCTGACTTCAGTTATATATGTATATATATATATAAATATATATATATATATATATATATTTATATTTATATATACATACACACAACAGTTCTGTCTGGTTCTCAAATTTGATTGGCTGATAGCCGTGCAATATTCTGCAACATCAGAACTCCTAAAGCCTCTTTACCCTTTGTGTATTACTCCGCCCACATACAGCCAGCAAAAAGCAGACACTACGGATCTAAAGTTTAAAAGATGCTTGCTCAGCTGTTTAACTGTCAGTTATGATTTGAATCCAATGTGGAAGAAAGTAGTTCCACATACAAAAGGGTTTTTGAGACTCTCCGTGTTTAATTTTGTTTTTATATACACAATTATGCCGCCAAACTGTTGTATAAACGCGATATCACACTCGTAGCAGTGCGATATGGCTGTATATCGGCACTGGTGGGGGCACTAAGGCATCGCACGCCTCCCAACAGTGCCGATATACAGCCATATCGCACTGCTATGAGTGTGATATTGCTCATATATATATATATATATATATATATATATATATATATATATATATATACACACACACACACACACACACACACACACACACACTGGGTAACACTTTACAATAAGGTTGTTAATGCATTTACTAACATGAACTAACAATGAATACATTTACTACAGTATTTATATACGATAGTTAACATTAGTTCATGAAAATACAGTTGTTTATTATTAGTTATTGTTAGTATTGTCATTGTATGTTCACTCACGATGCATTAACTAATGTTACCAAGCATGAATTTGGATTTTAATAAGGCATTAATAAATGTTGAACTATGATTATTAAATGCTGTACATGTATCATTCAGACTTAGTTCATGTTAGTACATACATTAACTAATAAAAGCCTTATTATAAAGTGTGAGCGGACACTGTGTGCACTGTTGTTACTAAATATAATCATGGCTCTAATGTACATTAGCTTTGATATCCGACTCTCATTACAGAATTCATCCTGTGGTGGAGAATGTGTGGTTATTCTTATACCATGAATCCCCAACCCATTAAAGTTAAATATACTTGCGCACACGCATAGCATGTTAAAAACCACAGCACATGCATGAGCGGGATTGTTATTTTCTTTTAAGTATTGGAAATCAGCTCACTCCTCCTTGGTGTCGATTCAGATATACGGTTATTAAAGTTTTTAAATGAGTTTTGTTTTGATGCTATTTTTAAATTGGCTGCTAATTTCACTTTATTTTAAGTTTCTTAAGGGTGACTCAGTGGTTAGCACTGTCGCCTCACAGCAAGAAGGTTGCTGGTTCGACTCCTGGCTGGATCAGTTGGCATTTCTGTATGGAGTGTGCATGTTCTCCCTGTGTTGGTGTGTGTTTCTTACGGGTGATTCGGTTTCCCCCACAGTCCAAACACATGCGCTTTAGGGGAACTGAACAAGCTAATTTGGCCGTAGTGCATGAATGTTTGTGTTAATGTGAAAGTGTGTGGGTATTTCCCAGTACTCTAAATTATTTTAATTTCACAGGACCTTTAAGACCAGAACAAAAAATCCCCCTCAAAGACAAACAAACAAGCATGCCTGGACTGTGATGGACAGGTGTGCTTATGTTTCTTCTAAAAATATTCTGAAGCCACATAGAGAGAATGGCAGAGCCTTAAATTACCCTCACACTGTCATCAGACCCCTCCTGCCGCCTCTCTCTCACCCCCATCACACCATTGCATTAAGCCTGCAATCTGTGCCACGGCACAAAGGTTTATCAGCGTTTTCCAGATCTGATGCAGTTGTTTTCAATCAAGCGGAAATGCACGGCTTTAACTCCACCCATTTACCATGACAACCTTGTTCACCAGGGAAATCAACTGTAGATGCACACTGTAGATGAACAGGTGTTCAAAATAGCAGGCGTCTTATTTAAGGGACAATAACGGCAGCATGATGAAGCTATTATTATCTGATTTAAAAGCATGTCAAAAGATACTTTATTTATAAGTGATTTTGATCCACTTTAAATGTTCACTGCTATATATTATATTATATTATATTATATATTATTATATTATATATTATTATATATTATTATATATTATTATATTATATTATATTATATATTATTATATTATATTATATTATTATATTATTACATTATATATTATTATATTATATTATATATTATTATATTATTACATTATATTGTATTATATTATATTATATTATTATATTATATATTATTATATTATATATTATTATATTATATTATTACATTATATATTATTATATTATTACATTATATATTATTATATTATATTGTATTATATTCTATTATATTATATATTATTATATTATATTATATATTATTATATTATATTATTACATTATATTGTATTATATTATATTGTATTATATTATATTATATTATTATATTATATATTATTATATTATATATTATTATATTATATTATTACATTATATATTATTATATTATTACATTATATATTATTATATTATATTGTATTATATTCTATTATATTATATTATATCATATTATATTATATTTTATATTATTATATTAGATTATTATATTACATTATATATATTATATTATATTTTATATTTTATTATATTGCATTATATTGTACACTCTCAGAAAACTAGTACAATGTTGTACCAAAGAAGGTGCAAACCCTTGTCGCTGGGGCAGTACCTTTTTATGGAACAGAATTGTACCTTAAGACAAAAAACAAATTTGTACGGTTGCAGTTTGTCGCTTTAAGGACATGATTTGTACCATGGGAAACCAAAATGCACCTTTTGGTTTTTAAAACCTGCAGATACAATATTGTACCTTCATGGGTACAAATCTGATCCATGAAGGTACAACTACAGTGACAAGACACTTTGTACCTTAACAGTGTCAAATGTGTTCCTTCAAGAACTATTTAAAGGCATTTTACTACATCCAAAATGTGTCAATTTCCTTTTTTAGTAAATATAAAACAACAAATACATTTAATAAACAATGTTTTAGTTTACAAAAACGTTTATTTTTGTTTAAAAACACCTTTTACATTTACAATAAAGCATAAAAAATACTTTAACTTAAATCAAAAGACCTATTTTTAGCTAAACATTTCACAACACTTTTCACAAGAATGTTACAGAAAGACATTCTCCCATGTACAATATCATATTTTTCTCAACTTTTCACACAACACCTTTGTAATCACTTAAAAGTTAATTTAATTGACTTAATTTTAAAATAGCAATCAAATTATGCAAAAGTATTGTAACGAGATCTGCTCAATTTCTGATTAGTTTTACAATATACTAAAATGTCTGCATGAACACTTTGCATATGCAGGACTTTTGCCAGCTCACGTGCACACACAGCAAAAGTGTGTGTGTGTGTGTGTGAGAGAGTGAATGAGTGTGTATGGGTGTTTCCCAGTACTGGGTTGTGGCTGTAAGGGCATCCGCTTCGTAAAACATATGCTGAAATAGTTGGCAGTTCATTCCACTGTGGCGACCTCTGAATTGAGACCAAGCTGAAGGGAAATTAATGAATGAATTGCATTATGTTGATCTCTGCTTTGCCCACTTTTGATGCTGAAAATTCAACTAGTTTAATAAAGTGACTTTTGTTGACATTTCAGTGCTTTAAATAATATAATGGAAAAGAAATAATAGAGAAAAATAAGTCTGTAAAATAATAGAAATGCAGTGCAGTTTATTACAAGGTTTTGTAGTGTAATATACAACACCACCCCAGACAATATAGCACTTTAAACTATTACAAATGTTCATAAAAGTCAATTTTTCCAACTTTGTATGGTTAAAAGTTGTTGGAAGAAAGATTAAGTTCTCATAATGCAATTCAAAAGTATAAATAAATGGAGAAAAATAAAAACATGAATCACAAAATGCGGAAACTGCTAATTTACAGATATTTTATACAGTATATCATGTGTTGGCCCTGATTTTGTCGATCATCGATCAGTTTTCTGCAGATGTTTGAGTGATCTAAACAGGAGTGTTGCAACATAACGTCAGTCGTAAAACACTAGTATGACTCTTGTTGCCTCTTATATTACAGCAGCTGCTGCTCCTGCATGAGCCTGACATGCACACACACACACACACACACACACAAACACTGAATATTTACTGCACAGAGAGGAATAAAATCTATTTGCAATATTTTGTTAAATTTTAGTGAGTTTTAATTTGATAATCTGACCCAGATAACTTATTGAAAGCTAACCAGAGATCCTGTCAGCGTTATGTAAAAGCGATATGTTGATATTCACATATCAGATGCT